TGGTAAATCCGTATCAGCAGCTATTCAGGTAAATGCTGCTATGGCGCTATTCAGGTAAATGCTGCTAATGAGCTATTCAGGTAAATGCTGCTACGGAGCTGATATTGTGCTATATAGGTAAATGCTGCTACGGTACAATCCAGCTAGTTTCGCTACGGTGGTGTCAACGTACAATAGGCAAACGCCTATTCACCATTCACGTCAATTCACCAATTACCATTCACGTCAAATCAAGTACTATTGCCTCGCAGGTTTCGCCCCCAAGTGAGCACGTCATGGTGTGGAGTCCGCACAGGCCGTGGTGGGAGCGATACCAACCGGTCAGCTACAAACTGATCAGTCGCAGTGGAAGCGAGCAAGAGTTTGCCGACATGGTGGAACGGTGCAATAAAGTCGGTGTCAGGTAAGCGTCACGAACACAGACACGTCGACCCAACCTTCGAAATCTACAGAGAGAGGTTCCGTTTGGTATTGTAACAGCATATCTAATGTTTTTTTTACTTCTATATAATTATAGATCGAACCATGTTATTAATGCTAAGCAATTATAATGACGAATACATAAACGTAAGTGTGTTTATCTCTGCAGATATATAAATACAGGAGNTATATATATATATATCATAATTAACATATCGTCTTATATTACAATTAGCGTCTGTTAATTATTTCACTTCTGATGCACACTGTAGGATTTTCGTGGATGCGGTGATCAACCATATGACTGGAGACAGCGGCATCGGGGTCGGCATAGCTGACAGCACCTTTAACACGTACGAGCAGTCTTATCCTGCCGTCCCGTACAGCATCCACGACTTTAACTCGAAGGAAAAGTGTGGAACGCAGAGCGGTAACATCGAAAACTACAACAACGTGAATGAGGTGCGAAACTGTCGCCTTGTCAGCTTGCTCGATCTCGATCAGAGCAAATCCTGGGTGAAGGACCGTATAAGGGACTACCTCAACCATCTCATCCGTTTGGGTGTAGCAGGGTTTCGAGTTGACGCGTCCAAACACATGTGGCCCGACGAGCTGAAGGCAATCGTTGAGAGCCTCAACGACCTACCCGAAACGCATTTCGGCGCGGGCCAACGCGCCTTCGTCTTCACGGAAGTCATCGACATGGGCGGAGAACCGATCACGAAGTACGAGTACACGGGCATCGGACGCGTCACCGAGTTTCTCTACGGCATGAAACTGGGCGAGGTCTTCCGACGATGGAACAACCAGAAGCTGGAATACCTGCAGTTCTTCGGCGAGTCGTGGGGCATGCTGCCGTCCGGGTACGCGTGGACGTTCGTCGACAATCACGATAACCAGCGGAAGCACGGCGGCGGCGGTGACATGGTACTCACATTCTGGGAGCCACGCGTCTACAAGATGGCGAACGCGTTCATGCTCGCCTGGCCGTACGGCTACACGAAGGTTATGAGCAGCTACTACTGGTACCCGCGCGAGGACACCGACGTCGGACCGCCGGCAGACTCCTACGGCAACACCAACACCGTGCCGATCAACGACGACGGCTCGTGCGGCGGAAACTGGGCGTGCGAGCACAGGTGGCGCCAAATTCGAAACATGGTCGCCTTCCGCAACCTAGTGCACGGCACCGCCGTCGAGAACTGGTGGGGCAGGGGTGACCAGATTGCGTTCTCGCGCGGCCGCAAAGGGTTCCTAGCGATCAACAACGACTATTCGCAGACGATGTCGGGAGAGTTCTACACTGGTCTACCTGAGGGCTTCTACTGCGACTGCATCTCCGGCGACATGCTGGGAAGCGGCGACAATGCGTACTGCACGGGTCAAACGTTGAGCGTCAACAGCATGGGTCGCACCCACATCAACATCAGGAGCGATAGCGAGAACCCGATGATTGCGATCCACGTCGACTACAAACTCGGCAGCAAACGTGGGAACATTCCCACGCGGAGGAATGGTGGGAAATAGACTGCTCTCGCACTAATCAAGGCTGGTTCGAACTGAAGGGTGTGATAAGCTCTTCAGGGCACGTTCAATGGGAATCGGATGTTCACCAGTCCAGCTGTAGGGGCAGTGCTGGTGCTAACCATCCGTTTAAGTCCAACAATCACTTTGCCTTGTGTGGAAAGATGAACGTGTTTAGATTTGGAGATATCTCGTGTGAGATTAATAACCTTAGAAGCGCGTGATCTTTAAAAAGAGAAATGTTACAATATTGAAATTGTGTTTTTTACCTAACGCATGAAGATTTTAATTAATTCCCCATACACTACCAATATACAATATAAAGTTGTTGCAGTAATATAATGACGTACATTTGCTTTAATTTTCTACGAGTTTTCTGTGTTTCTGTGATTGTACAGTGGTGAAATAAAGGGGAGTTAACCTAGCTAACCTGATCTAAGAAACGCTAAATAAATCCATACTTCGCTTGCAAAACGTATTCTTCGTATTTTTATAACATTAAGTTGTGGGAGAGTGGAGTAACTCCGTTACTCCGGAGGAATCGTACGGAACCTGTAAATCTTACGAGTTATCCATGTGCGCTAGTAGGCAATAAAAAGGACTGGTTTTTATATCGGCCTAATAGATATGAAACATGAACAACAGTTGCTTGCTCCTTATACGTTACAGTCCGATTCAATGCGATGATGTTGATAGTGATGATGATGATGATGATGATGATGATGATGATGATGATGATGATGATGATGATGATGAAATACACACGCGCGCGCACAGCCATATGCACGTATATATAAACGGGTGACCGCACGTGAAATATCTACTGTTAGTACTTACTGCGATATATCCATGACAAACAAAAACGACTAAATTGGTTACGACAATATCTGTAGGCCCTACCACTTGATATCCGATAAAAACGCGGAACATTTGACGTTGCTAATCTTGCTCACACAGCTGCTCAATCCGAGGTTCGGTCGCCTCGCTATCACCCTGGCGGCCATTCAAATCAGAACACACATAAATAATAGCAAAAGACGCCATGAGGCGGAATTTTGAAATGAGAAAGAATAGATTGGCTTGAACTGCGGCGCCCTCTGTCGGGGGAAGGGAAAGTGGCTCTGCCTTGGTCAATATGATCGTTGTAATTATAATTCCAACTGATTATAATAATGATGATGATAATGATGGTGATGATGATGATGATGATGATGATGATGGTGGTGGTGATGGTGGTGGTGGTGGTGGTGGTGATTGGATCCCTTATGTATCCGCCTCTAAGCGTATTATATGCGCATTTTTGTATTATGGGCGCGTATATATGCCATAGTATATATGCATCGCGGGCGTGAACAGGTTTTGGTGTAAAGCCGGCTATGATTGACTTGATTCAGACTTGATTCAGACTTGACGGACAATTTCACGAGTGGTTAATTTCGCGGTCGGTGAATTATGAATTATTCGGTATTATTCGGTATGAATTATTCGCGTGTTGTTATTTTCGCGGTCGGGAACGCGTTCGCGAAATTCGCGACTGGGTGTGTACATGTGTCCGTGTGCGTGCGTGGTTCCGTGCTAGTGTACTTGTTTACTGAACTTATAGCGATACTAGTGACATCGCTATTAAATCGTTAACTCCATGTGATCAACGTTTTCGCGTCCACAATGTATGTGTACCATCATATGGGTGTATGAGCCTATATAATACGCGGTAACGCGCCTGTAATGCGTGTCGAAATGTCATAAAACATCAATGCAAAACAAATTTGTCTACAAGGATTGTCTATTCAACGGTAAGAGTTGCAGAACGTTTCACATAGGCTGGGCGCAAGCTGCGGTTTAGAAGGAGTAACAATGAAGCGCTTCCGATCACTGCCAATCAACTAATCTGAAGGAGATCGTGGACTATTATCGCCCTCTAGCGGCATTATGAAGCACTAAATTAACTTAATTACGCCTTTGAATTGATATTGAGCCACGCAGCCTATTTGTCTACAGCAAAGATTTGATCATACGCCAGATAAGGACCCTCTCCAATATTCACCCAATCAAAGTCAGTCGGCACTAATAATCAATTAGGGCAGTTATGGGGATCCGCGGTTGAAAGCCATGTAGCTGCTATAGCGAAGGCAATGTCGTTACAGCGGCTTATTACTCTTCATCCATATCCATTCTCGGACGACGCATAGCCGCACGCATATGACCACCCTGCAAAAGACGGATAAAATTAGAAGCTTAGACATAGGGAAAAAGTATGAATTAAAGTAAAACTATAGACAACATGTCGTTTACCGAAGCAGCAATCGTTAAAGACGCCAACGATTTCACAATTTCCTTTGAAATACCTCCGATGATATATTATAATTGTATATTGCTGATATAATTATCTCATGATATACTCTAGATAACATATTATAATTGTATCTACGATGTGTGCTTTTTGAATTCGAACAAATCTGATGAGATAAGTGCATATGCATCAGAAGTAGATAATAGGGTCCCTAGTATCCCCTATTATACCCTAGTAGTCCCTATTATCTACTTCTGATGCGCATGCATCTACACTGAGTGCCTGTGTACATGAGCGTGCACTCACCGAAACGCTGCGTACGGCGATGCCTGATGAGCGGGTGACAGCGCGAAGCTTGACCACGGCGCTCTCCGCATCCTCCGCCCGCGCCTCAGCCTCTTCCAACTCGGCCTGCGCCTTGCGGTACTTGGCGAGGTTCATGTTGGCCACCTCCTCGGCCTCGTCGATCTGCCGCTTGTAGAGCTTGATCTTGCCGTTGAGTCGCTCCATCATGTCCTCGAAGTGCGAGTGATTCTTCCTGTCGTCCTCAGCCTGCATCATCAGCTCCTTCACGCGTCGGTCGACCTTACGGTAGTTCTTCTGCGCCTCGCTGTGCCGACGCTGCTCAGCATCCAGCTCGCTCTCCAGCTCGCGCACGCGCTGCTCTAGCTTAGAGATCAGCTTCTTGCCTCCCTTCAGCACGTTTGCCTCGGCCTCGTCCAGACGCACCTGTAGGTCCTTCAGTTGTCCCTCGATGGCCTTGTGCGCCTTGATGACGTGGATCGCGTGCTCCTGCTCCTGGCGCAGCTCCTCGGCGAGGCGCGCTGCGTCGGCGACGGCGCCTCTCGCCTTCTCGTCGGCGACGCGCAGCTCGCTGACCGTCTCGTCGAGGTCGGCTTGCATCGTCGTCACGTCTCCCTCGAGCTTCCTCTTCGCTGCGTTGACGGAGCCGAGCTGCGACTGCAGGTCCCCGGCGCGGTCGTTCGCCTCGTTCAGCTCGGCGTCGGCGGCGCGGCGGTTGCGCTCCGCCTGCTCGAGCGACGCGCGCGTCTCCTCCAGCTCTGCGGCGACGGCGTTGCAGCGGCGCTCGCTGGCTCCTAGCTGCTCGCGGATCTCCTCGCGCACGCGCTGCTCGTCCTCGATCTGCGCCGTCAGGTCGACCATCTGCGCCTGCAGCCGCTTGGCGTTCTTCTGCGCGTCGGCGTTCTGCCGGTTGGCGCCGTCGAGCGCGATCTCCAACTGGTTGATGTCCGTCTCCAGCTTCTTCTTCATCTTCATCGCCTCGGCGCGACCCTTCGACTCCGCCTCGAGGCTCGCCTGCATCGAGTCGACGGCGCGCTGGTGGTTGCGGCGCGTCGTCTCGAACTCGTCGTCCTTCTCGGCGAGGCGGCGGTCGACCTCTTGGCGGATCTGCTGCAGCTCCAGCTGCGAGCGCACCACCTTCGACTCCTCCTGCTCGAGCGCCGCCTCGGCTTCCTCGAGCGCCGACTGCAGCTCTTCCTTCTCCTGCTCGAGCCTCCTGCGCGCCTTGTCGACCTCGTGGATGCTCTTGCCTCCCTCGCCCAGCTGTTCGCCGAGATCCTTGATTTCGTCGGCAAGGTTGCGGTTCTCGCGTCGCAGCATCTCGACGGCGTCGGCTGACTCCTCCTGACTGGCGCGAGCCTTGAATAGCTCTGTCGACGCGCCGCGACACTCGCGCTGCGACGCCTCCAGCTCGGCGGCGAGGTCGTCGCTCTTCTGCTTACACTCGGAGAGCGTCTTGTCGAAGTTACGCTGGCGTTTCTCGAGCGCGTTGGCGGCAGCCGTCGCACGCTCCACCTCGACGGACATGTCGTCGAGTTCGTTGGAGAGGCGATGCTTGTTCTTGTCGAGCTGCGCGATCTTTGCGTTCGCGGCCTCCAGCGCATCCTCCAGCGATTGAACTCTCACCTGGAACTTGCGTCTACAACGAGGTAATGCTGATGAGAACTTAGTGAATAGCTATAATTACCCGCAGTGCTTAGTGAATAGCAATAAATACTTTCATTTATTGAATAGCAATGAACACGACAAGAAGTACAATTTTTATTAAATATTTTACTATATTTAAATCATTATTTTTAATCTTGAAAAAATAATTGAGTAGATTAATATTTTGCACTTTATACGGTCAAGGAAATATTAAGATCCTATCCATATTAACGTCATATATGTTCGTTATTCATTCAACAGAGTGACACACTCACTTGACATCCTCGACTTCTGGCCCACCTCCTCCGAGACCTTCGCTCTCCACGCGCGCACGCAGAGTGTTGAAGTCGTTGTTGACCTTCGACAGCTGCCTCTGCAGTTGGCTCTTGCCGTCCGCCTCCTCCTCGAGCTGTTCGCGCATCTGCTCGGCATCGTGCTGCACGTTCCTTAGCTGCGACTGCAGACCCGACCTGGCTCTACCCTCCTCGTCGGCGGTGGCTCGCACCTCCTCGAGTTGCGCCTGCATCTGCGACTTGGCGCGCGCCAGCTGGTTCACCTGCGCCTCGGCCTCCTCGAGCTGATGCTGCAGGTCGTTCGTCTCGCTCGCCATGCGGCTCTTCTGCGCGTTCATTTCGTTAATGATGCGCGATGACTCGTCCAGCTTGGAGTTGGCTTCGCTCAGCTGCGACTCGAGCGCCTTGGTGAGCTTGTCCGTCTGCGACTTGCTCTTGCCCAGGTGGTCCATGCTGCCCTTCATGTCGTCGAGCTCGACCTTCAGCTGCGCTTTCTCCTTCTCGATCCTTCACAGAAAATACGTCATAACGTGTACTGCGTTAAGATTTTTGAGGGGGATATTTTGATCTTAAGAGAATTGCGAGGGTTATGATGACAACGATATAAGTGTTATTATGTTAAGAGCGCAGAATTAAATTATAGTATTTTATGGCAGTTTTAATATCAAATTTCCTTTGATATTATCGAAATAGCCATTAAAATATGAGCAAAATAAAATGCTGTAACGACAATATTATACAGTAATATACAATAATACTATACGATAACGACTAGAAATAATATACTATTCCAGACTATACAAAATTTTACTATAGCAGCAATAATAATATTAAACTACGTACTTGGCATTTTATACAATCATATACAATAGTACTGTACTATACCTACATAACTGCTATACTATACTACAATAATAAATACTATAATGCAATAACAATATTAAACGGCGTAAAACTGCACTATACCTACTATAACTACTATACTATAGCACAAAAATAAATACTATAACGATAACATAACGATAGCAAGCTATACGTACTTGGTCTTGACCTTCTGCAGCTGGTCGATCTGCTCCGCCATCTCGCAGACGACGTCGTTCTGCTTCTTGCGCAGCGACGAGACGGTCGCCTCGTGCTGCAGACTCTGCTCCTCAAGATCACGACGCAGCTTCGCCAGTTCCGCCTCGCGCTTCCGGTTCAGCTCGACCTGCGCGCTGGTGGCGCCACCTGCCTCCTCGAGCCTCTCTGTGAGCTCCTCGAGCTCGCGAGCGAGTTCGGCGCGCTGCTTCTCGACCTTGGAGCGCGCCTGCCTCTCCGCCTCCGTCTCCTCCTCGACCTCCTCCACGCGCGCCTGCAGCTCCTTGATCTTCTTCTGCAGCTGGTGGGCGATGCCCTGCTCGTCCTCGCACTTACTGCCGATGCTGGCGAGCTCCTTCTCCTTGCGGCGCAGGTTCTCCTCGAGTCCACGCTTCGACATCTCCAGCTCCTCGACAGCCTCCTGCGTCATCTTCAGGTCGCCCTCGACCTTGCGGCGCGCCTTCTCGACGTCGCCGCGCACCTTCTTCTCGCGCTCCAGGTTGTCCTCTAGCTCGTCAAGCGTCTGCTCCAGTTTGGCCTTGACCTTGTTGATGTGGTTGACCTTGTCTTCTTCCTTCTGCAGGTCGTCGGTCGTGCGCTGAAATCATCGGGGGGATGATGGCAATAAAGGCGAAGCGTGTGTTTTAGAGTTTGCGTTAGTTGTTTGTATTAGAGTTTGCATTAGTTGTTTGTGTTAGAGTTTGTATTAGGTGTTTGTATTACAGTTTGTATTAGAGTTTGTATTAGATGTTTGTATTAGTTGTTTGTATTAGAGTTTGTATTTGTTGTTTGTATTCGAGTTTGTATTAGTTGTTTGTATTCGAGTTTGCGTTTGTTGTTTGTATTCGAGTTTGCATTAGTTGTTTGTATTACAGTTTGCATTAGTTGTTTGTATTAGAGTTTGCATTAGTTGTTTGTATTAGAGTTTGTATTAGTTGTGCGTGGTGGCCGTACACTGTGAAAGGCTTCGATTTTATGCATAAAAGTGTGTGATGACAATAACAATAATTTTAGTGGAAAACAAAACAAATTTGGTTGTTTTTCTGCATAAATGTTAATTAAGATAAAAATTTAATTATTATTATTATTATTATTATAAATTATGGAATGATTAATCAGTTATATGACATAGTGTCCGATCAAACTAAAACATGGCTCACGTGAGACTAAGATAACGTAAACCCGAACGAGAAGCTCAACAAGACTGAACTTACAGACTGATGTTCCTCCATGTTCTTCTTCTCCTTGTTCACTTTGGCGAGCAGTTCTTCTTGGCGGGCTATCTCGTCGCTCAACTGCTTGATCTGGTGCTCCTTCGCCGTCTTCTCGCTCTCCACCTTCTTCAGGCTGCGCTCCAGTTCCTCGATCTGCGACCTCATGTCGGAGGCGTCGCTCTCTGCCTTCCTCTTGGAGTCGCTAAGCGTCGACGCGCTCTCCTCCTCTTCGGAGAGTCGGTCTCGCATCTCCGTCAGCTGCTGCTCCATATCGTGCTTCTGCTGCATCAGCTTCGTCGCTCGCTCCTCGATATCGGCGATCGTCTCCGACTCGCTCTGCATCTGCGCGTACAGGTCGCCCTTCTCCTTCGCCAGCTTGGCGATGTTGTCGTCGCCCTCCTTGCGCCGCTTGCTCTCCTTCTCCAGCTCCTCCTTCAGCTTGCCGATCTCCTCCTTCATCTCGTTCATCTCGTCCTCCTGGCGCGCGATCGACAGCAGCGGCTTCACCTTCGTGTAGAGCCTCCACCAGGGCCAGTTGCGACACTGGATGTACTTGCGCACGTTGCGCTGGATGACCATCATCGCGAGGCGCTGCGCCTTCATCACCTCGTAAAGCGCACGCGTCTGCTTGCCGCGGATCCACGCCTGCGCCAGCGTCATGATGCGCGTGATGCGGTCGTCGCGCATCTCCTCCAACTTGCCCAGCGAGCCGGCCTTGAAGAAGATCTTCGTGTGGCCGAGCTTGTACTGCTCGGGATCCCACTCGAGCGCGGAGAGGATCGCACTCGCGATGTCCTTGCTGTCGGCAAAGCCCACGGGCACGGCGTTCGGAGCCAAGATGGAATACCTGCAATCACGCGATAAGGTGCCTAGTATTACCAAAGAGCCTATATTAATAGCCTATATAGTCTATATATATATATATATAGCCTATATATAGTCTATATAGTCTATATATACATATATATAGCCTATAT